ACCTCTGAGACTATCACAGTGCAGGTGCATTTATATGGAGACTTGATTCCACACAGGTGGATTCTATTTATCATCCTTTGTCATTTAGGTCAACATTGGATCATTCAGAGATCCTCACTGAACTTCTGGAGAGAGTTTGCTGCACTGAAAGTAAAGGGGCTGAATAATTTTGCACGCCCAATTTTTCAGTTTTTTATTTGTTAAAAACGTTTGAAATATCCAATAAATTTCGTTCCACTTCATGATTGTGTCCCACTTGTTGTTGATTCTTCACAAAAAATTACAGTTTTATATCTTTATGTTTGAAGCCTGAAATGTGGCAAAAGGTCGCAAAGTTCAAGGGGGCCGAATACTTTCGCAAGGCACTGTAATTCTGATGTAGTCTTCCCTCACCCTTCCCTCTATCTACTCACTGAACTGTTCAAGCAAGGGAACAACAAAACATGTTTTGGTTGTGGCTTATAAGACATGTACAGTAGTACTGCTCCCTGCTTTCACGAACACGTCTAGTCTTTGTTCACTCACTCATCCTAACCACATTTTATGTTTTCATTAATATAATTTTATTTTAAGATTAAGCCACAAGAACAGTGAACAGCAGTGAGGTCCTGTTGGTAGGTGGTAAAACCTGGTTATTAGTCAGCATTCCCTCTGGTGTTGGATGGGGCTGAGGTCAGAGATCTGGGCCAGGCAGAATATTTCCTCATGGACCTCATGTAGTGTTGTAATGTTAAATCTCTTGGAATGTGTAGCACAGTGTTTTGATGGTGGCACTTTATAAATGCCAAGGCCTTTACTGCCCTGCCAGCTAATTAATTCTCATGTTCTGGGTGCAGGGGCAGGAGTCATTACACCCCAGCAGTTACTCATTATGAAAATTTGTTTTGGCTTTTTTCTTTGCGCCTTCAGAGCAGATAGTCCAATATTATGATAATAGCCAGGTCTTTTTTAATTTGCATAAGGTTAATACAAATTCCGTGTGGGATGATTTGGTTGTTGCATCTCAAAAGGCTCACAAAGGATGATCGGTGTGTGTTTACTCCAGTCTGTGGCTTCTCTTTTGTTTCTTGTCCTCAAATGTGGAAGTCATGTCCACGATGGGGTTCGACCCACTGAAACCTGTCCATGGGGTACAGGATCACAGGGCTGTGGTAGTTCAAACATGGATGGCACAGACAATACTCACCCATTTTTCTTTCATTGCTTTTCTTTTCATTCAATTCATTTAGGAGATTTACAGTGTCAATAAGACACAGGATTAAATTCTGTCTTTTGTGGTTACGTCCTGAATCCAAAGTAAATTAGATAGATTATATTTTCCTTTTCCCCCTTTTTAAATTTATTTTTTTGTTTATATAGAAGCCATAGAGATCTTAAAAAATTCTTGCCTGTGACTTTTTGAATAAACCAGCACGGATATATTTTTTATATACTCAAGTGGTCTGAGTCGTCCCTCTGAGTTCCTGGTTTGAAAGAACCGGATGAGGCTTTATAATGGTTTTCAGCCTTTACTTGAAAAGTCTTTAAAAATCTCAGATTGTTCCATTTTGTCATTTTTTTTCCCTCTTTCTCTAATCGGGTCCACCTGTGTACACTGTAATACCTTGTCTGGGGGGATTCATAACCTGGAAATAGGTTTTAAACTGCATTCAGTGGTCTAAAAATGTTTTCAAAAGTCTCAAATTTAACTTGATGAAACCTACAGATGCCCTGTTTTTCAGTCTTGAAATATTGTAATTATAAAAAGCATGTTCTCTTACCACTGTCAAAAGTCAAATTTTTGAAAAAACTTAATTTAAGCCTTCAGCACCACAAAATGTAAAAAAAAAAGATTCACTGCTTTCTGAAACCACTACACAAACAGCATTATATCTAAATCTGTTTGTAACAAAGGGAGACCTTGCTACAGATAGTAGCGTTAGCAGAAATAATGTTAATTTACACACATTTCTTCTTATATTCAAGATCCATCATTGGACAGGGCCTCCGCTGGGGCTGAGGCTTGGTTCAGTTATTTGGTCTTTTGTTTGTTAGTGTGTAACATTCTTGATGTAGAGCGCTCAGAGCAAGAAAGAACTGAGGGAAATAAAGGAAAAATGATAGATGCAAAGCAAAAAACAGCCAGATGCAAGAACATGTACTGCAGGTGCTCTGTGTACTCACGGAGCAGAAACTGTCTCGGGATTGTCTGATGGTTGTTCTTTAGTAAACTGATTAATTATTTTGTTCAGCGCAGGGTGTTTGACTCACTCCTACCAAGCCACGCAAAAAAGCACAAGCATGCCTCTTGTTCAAGTTGAACTTTTGTGTGAGATACACTGATATCGATGGGGAGAGTGTTGAACAAAGCTCCAGTTAGCTGTGTTTTACTGGACTGCCCTCCCAAGGTTCAGCTGGGAGCTTTGGTGCCTCGTTGCATTGCACCTATTGATTGGTCACTGTCAGAGGCTGTGGTTAATCCAGTTGTGATTGACTGGATGGATAGATTTCTTTGCAGGTTCAAGACTCAGGTCCCAGTGCACACCAGTCACAAGCCAGGCAAACTAATGCAGACAGACGGGTCAGGCAGAACACAGATTGTTTTTTTGTTTGTTTGTTTGTTTGTTTTGGGGGGGTACTGCCTGGTCATTTAAAGATAAACATGTACGTACAGTATGAAATACTAAGCAGTGGTTTAGTCTTAACACTGCCTGTGGCTTCTAGGCCAAAAGGTTACTAATCCAATCTATACAACAGGCAGTATGCTGTACGAGATGCCTAGTCATTTGTCCTGGTGAACTTCTCTTGACCTAGAAACTTGCTCAATGCCAGCTCAAACATTCTAATGCAAAATGTATTCTTGTTACCTCATTATGTAACTGCCACAGACAAATGTAATATTGTTGAAAATGGCCAAATATACAAATATAACATCAATTCCTGAGCCTTCTCCTCAGCCTCTTTACCCTCATAAATGTACTTGTCACCAGTTGGTAAAACATTCGCCCATATCCAAGGACTTTAAGCAGCCCTGTTATCCTGCTGGACCTTCTCCCTTCATGTACTTCCTGCCTTTCACAGCGGTCTGTCATTTGTGTCAGCATTACTACTAAAAGAAAGGTTTATTACACAGTGAGTACAATAGCACATAATGGACCATTGTTCTGGTTCAGAGTGGTAAAAAGGTCACTCGTCACACACATTTCTTTTGCCTTAATGTCCCATCCTGCCATTTCTCTGCCCTTTTATCTGCTGTCTCTCCCTGATGTTTTTGCACCCTTTTTGTTCAGCCTGGCACTCTGTTCCTACTTCTGTTGTTGCTGTTTTTTTATCATTTACCCTTCATGCTGAGAGTATTTTCATCCCTCATCAAGTTAGTTGTTAGAAAGAAAACAGGGTTTTCCTTGCATAAATATTTTGGGGCTGAGAGGGTGACGATTAGGCCAAGTGTGGTTTCCTTCCTGGCCCATTTCAATCAGTGTAACTGTATTTGTGAATCATTTTTAGCCGCATTGCTTTTTAAGTGCTTGTCATGTTGACATAGAGATTTAGCTTTTAGCTCAAAGGAATAGCCCAGTGAACACACTCCCTGCAGGCTTTAATGGTGGCTCAGAGAAGCAGAAAAAGCTTTCACCAAGAATGGCAGCTGTAGTCACCCAGAATTCACGCCAGCTCCAGTGGATTCTAATGGTGGCCCAGTTCCACTATGAACAAAGTTTTGATTTCTGATTATGGTGCCACAGTTAATATATGCTAGGAACCATAAAAGATTAGTTGACTAATTGTTTAGCTGATTAACTGCTTTTCTTTCTTTTCTATCAGTGTAAATTGAATGTCCTTGAGCTTTGGACTGTGGGTTGAGCAGTTTCAGGATGTTACCTTGGACTGCAGACAATTTCGATGGGCACTTTTCACTGCTTTTTGGCATTCATTGAAAAAATATTCAAATAGATTATTAAAAATGAAGGTGCATATTCTGTATTTTAGGTCTGTTTGATGCCACAGAAGTAGTTTGCCATGTTTGTCCTTTCTCACACAACTGGTTCAATTCTCCATGCTTCCTCACTTAGAAGCTGGCCCTGTTGACCCGTCCAGTGCCTCGTTATGTTAAGGGGCTGCAGGGAGAGGGCCAGGCTCTGAATTGGTATGTCTGGCCTTATCTTATCAGCCACTGCGCTTGTGTATACAATCAGAAGCTGCTCCCACCTCTGCTGCTACTGCTGCTTTCTGTGATGGAAAACACGGTTTCCTCTGGGTTTAAAGATAGAGCCCTCAAGGGCCCTGCTTCCTTCTGCACTATTAGATAATTGGCAAGTTCACAAATAGGACAGAGAGCCATAAGCTTACCTCTGACTGGTTAAATTGGTGGAATAAATATACATTTTGCTAAAAAGATTGCCCCTGACTAGACTTTTACCAGCCTTATTTAAGTATTTTTACACATTTCTCCCCTTTTTAAGCCACATTTGTAGCCTCCATTGGGGAAACCACCTTCCTTATTAGAATTATTGTTGCGTTATGCACAGTGTGCAACTTCTCTGGAAGAAGCGTCTCAGATTTTAGTCTGTTGGACATTCAGGGAAGTTGCACCCTCTACCTCGTCACCACTGCAGCTGTCCCATTCGCTTTCCCACAACCATTACAAAGGGGCCTGGAGAAAAAAAGAGCACTATGATAATTAGAAGTTTTAAAGCTCTGATAATTAGCAAGGCTGTAATTATGGGGCTGTGAAATAGGTATGTATGTATGTATGGTATTGCCAGATATTCACAAGATAATTGCCTAAAGAATGTATGTGTGATTCCTGTGAGTTGCTCTGAGTGTGAAAGAAGGACAGAGAGAGAGAGGTCAGGGGTGTGTGTGTTTTTGAGAGAGACGGAGAAAAGGTTGGTAGCTATAGGTAGCTATACGTTAGCAGCTTTCCATGAATACAAAGTGCTTTCCTTGTGTGAGGTGCTGTGGGGGTTTAGAGACTGTTGTGTCTTCTTTATGGCATCATTCAGTGGGAAAAAGCATAAATATTAGTCTCCAGGTATCCTCTCTCTCCTGTAATGGGAAGTTAAAAAGGCACAATAAACAGTCACTGGCAGCTGTTGCAGTGGCACATCTGGTGTTTTGATAATGTGACACCTGAGATTTACTGTGGCTTGTAGGTCCACAGTGTGCACACTGCATGGCTTTAGCAACATGGAGGCTTTATCGGATAAACTGGAAACAGTACGGTGGCAGTTTGTTTCGCATTTTAAACATGATTCATAAAGGATTCCACTGAATCATAATCGAACAAATCATATTTTTTTTATTTAAAATTGAATCACAATTTTCTGATGTATCCTCCAATTATTCAAGGTCATTTTCATAGCTTTGCATCCACTGACTGTATTTATGTATGTTATCGTTTCCTTTTCCTCCTCCAAATGTGAACTGATAACACCCACCTGTCATTGGCATCTTTACACATTGGGTTTGTTTTGAACCATTCTTTTCTTGTACAGCTCATCACATGGTAAAACACATTTCTGCAATTGGTTCACACAGCTTAGCGAGGAAAGGGAGCACTTGTTTTGATATAACGAATCTCCCTGCTAACACAAACACGGCAGAATTGTCGTCACGTGAAAAGGAGATTGGGTAGGGGTTTGAATCGAGATCGAAAAACGATTAATAGTGCAGCCCTAGATTGGACAATATGATGATTAGGGATAACAAAATAAAACGGTTCCAGAGTTCTTGGTGTATAATTGCACCAATAACACATGGATGAATTTTACACCCAAACATTTAAAAGCAACTAAATGCAATACACTTCAAATATTACATGTATATCCCTAAGATAAACTGAACAGTATTTGCTGTGGCTTATTATGAAAATGTTATTCTTAGTATTAACATATTCTCTATCATCTTCACAACCAGGATCCAGGCCAAGACCAGGGAGTTGAGAGAGCGCCAGGCCAGGGAGCGGGACTACGCTGAGATCCTGGACATAAGCCGCACGTCGGAGAGATCCTCTGAGGAAGAGCATCCATACGCAGGAATCAACAGCTCTGTGGACAGCAGTCACAGCCGACCCCACAGCCCTCGAGACGATTACCCCCATATCCAACCGCACCACCAGCATCAGCACTCCGATTCCCTCTACACCCAAGTCAGCAAGGCCCGCAGTGACCGGCCTCCGTCTGCAGACAGGTAGACAAACTCCTCAGTCGCAGTCTGGGTTGTTTGTTTATTTCATGTCTTCTCTCTTCACTTGAAAAATTATCTGCTTTGTAACGCTAATGAAATTCCACTGGAGTCAAAATACCCATCAAATTCCATGTTCGTTCAGACCAGGCGACGGGCTGCCATTTATGGTTCAGCAACCTTTTTACCTCCAATTCAAAAGCACAGCCCAATTATGGTGCTTCAGTAAAAGGTCTGTCCAGGCCTGATTCTGCCTCATATTCCCAGCTCTCGTAACTCTGAGGCCGCATTATTGCGTGGAGACGGCAGGCTGGCTATCACACCTGGTGGAGAAAATAATCACAGGAACAGAAGGCCAGCAATAAATGTCAGCTCGCTGGCTGCTAGACACAATGCAACATTCTCTGGGGAATGTGGAATTACTCAGGAGAGGCAGAGAGTGAATGGAAACCTTTGAATATCCGTCTCTCTTTGTCTCCCTTGACCTTTCTACCTCTTACTTTCTCTCTTTCGTTCTCTTGTTGATTTCACCTTGTTGCCATCTTTTCACTTTGCTGCATTTTACCCTTTTTCGTGCCTTTCCCTGAAGTATCCTGCTTCAGTTAGAGACATCTCAGAAGTCCTGTGTCCCTGATTTACAGCTGTCCGTCATTTTAAAATATTCACCCAGCCTGACACAGAGATCCCTTTTCTCTGCACATATACTTTGTATTCATACGCAGCAGCCAAGCAGCAGTATGAAACTTATAATCCAAAGTAAAGTCCAGTGCAGTGACAGCAGGCCAGTAAGCCAGAATGTTGTAAAAGCCTGCATCTTGTCAGCAGCAGCAGTTCTCAGCAGTGCAGATCTGTGCTGACTTGCTCCCCAACCCTCTGCTGATCAATGAATGGAGAGATTCGTAGCACTAAGATGGATTTGGGAGCTTAAAACCAATCGAGGAAAGCCTGCAGTGTAGCAGAAACACAGGCAGTGCAGGCAAGTTTATCCACAGCTGAATGAATGAGTTTGTCTTTGTCGTGGATTTCATGCATCCCCAGATGGCCCCAGCAGCCTGTGTGCGCTTCAGGAGTGCTGTAGCTCGTATTGATTCATAATTCATTGTGCTGCTGTTGTCACTCAATGATTTTTTCCTTTAATCCCCTGATGTAGTGCTGTTTGTGCAAATGCACACCATCAGATAGTATACTAATTTTACAGATAATGGAGGCTTATTTAATTAGTTGATGGAATTTACTCCTCGTTGTCTTCGTAATAACATTTTTAGCTTTTCTTACTCATTCACCACATAAGCAAGTTCAGTTATTTAGGCGTATATCTCTTTAGGGTGAACGAGTTTGGCAACGACAGCAGAAAGCTACTGACAGAGGTGGCAGGAGTGTGCACATTTGTTTTAGGTAGAATTACATTACCTTTAAAAAAAAAAAGTACTAAAGAAGTACTGATTTTTACCAAGACTATTAAAGCGTTCTAACTTAAATAATTAACATTAACCAATGAGAACACATTTCAGGTCTAAATAAGCCTTAAAGGATAAGGCTAATTTTTTTATATTATTACTAGGTTTTTCAACACTCCCCATACGAAGACTAAAACCAACAATGAGCTACTTCTGCTGACGGCTAATGTCTGTGAGGCTGTCACTTCAGTGCCGTAGACCTCCATTGTTGTTCAAAATCAATTAAAAGCACATCAGTGAAACGCACCTCGCAATGGGAGACACATTTCTTCATTACAAAACACCAGACCCACATATTTGTTAAAAATGTTGTCCCAGACCCTCAAATGACCAAAACCTTTTACAGCATCTGAATTAAAGCGAGTCAGCTGTGCATGCGTGAGATCTTTGTGAAAGCCTGAGGAGTTAGCGGACTGTAAACAGAGCTAGAGCCTGTAATTTAGAAATGTGCAAAATAAAAATAAAATTCCCATCATATGTATTAAAAGTTAAAGTAATGAGCATGATTTAACAATGTAAGGAGTAGAAACTACTCATATTTGTGTTAAAATGTAGGGAATATAAAGATAAAATCTTTTTACCTTTTCAGATACCTGAAAAATCTGCTGAAGTACAGTAATGAAGTATTTGTACTTTGTTACTTCCCACCTCTGGATACTGAATTAGCACTGAAATAATTTCAGTACAGTTTTTTTAATCTTTGTATTTCATTTAAGAATTTACCAGTTCCAGCTTCTCGAATGTGAGGATTTGCTGCTGTTCTAAACTGAATTTGGAGGTTTTGACTGTTGGCTGGACAAAACAACGTCGTCTTTGGCAGCGGGGAGCTGTGATTTGCCTCCTGACTATTTGTTTACATTTATAGGTGAAATGAAGAATCAGTTAGTCTGACAAAATAATGAATATGTTAATCCATTGCATTTCACTGCACTCCAGGCTCTGGTTAAGTGTTCCACTGGGCATCAGAGACATAACTCTTTTATTTTGTTACACCGCTGAGAGATGAAGCTGAGGTAATACTGATCTTCCCCATTAATATCAGCAGTAGGTCTCACTTTTGTGTGACTGGTGAGTTTTATGGCCATTTAGAGCACATAATGTGTGCAAATCATCTCCAGCTTGAAGAAATAATGTTCTTTATGTGATTATGCACACTGCTGTTATACTTTATGGCTAAGCATGCTGCCTCTGATGTAAAAGGCTTGCTCTTTTCATGACGCTCTGATTAGAGCAGCATAGGTGCCAGGGACACAAATTCCTTAAAGATCTTATGTTTCGTTCCCAGCTCCCCAGTCATAAGAAAAATATACCTCCTGAGAGAACCAGGAAGCATGTTTCCTGTTTCCTGTCTGCCCCCTACTGAGCAGGAAGTGAATTAGACCTTGCAATGCCAAGCGTGGGAGGGAGGGAAACTTACCCTATAGTGGCAGTGTTTGTTATTATGGGATTCGAATAGCAGCATGAACTGCTATCAGCTTAAGCATTGTGGAGATTTTATCAAAGCAATAACATGTCCATAGAAGCTGAGAGTGAAGGAAAATGTTATTTCTATTCCACACTAACACTGCACTTTTAAAATGTAAACATGCCGTGATCACTTCAGATGTAATCAGTTTTAAATTTACTTTGAGTTTGCTTGATACTTAGGATGTTGCTGCGTAATGAATTGGCCTTTTTCGCAGCTCAGATGAAGAATTGTTTAACTGTCTGACTCTGTCGGGGTTTGTTGGAGCATGCAAGCGGATAGATTTCTGAACATCTCTAATATTTTATGCCCATTTTCATGCCCCAAATCAAGCACGGCACGTGTTGCAGAATGTCAGTTTTATATTGGTGTATAGGCGGTTTGTTAGTGTTACCATGTTGTGATTGTCACCGGAATATGAATCAGAATGAAACAGAGGGTCAAAGTTATGGCAGATTTTACATAATACACAATAAGAACAGCTGGACAGAGGCACTGGAGTTACACAACCTGATCTCTCCAGCTGTGATCCTGCTCATCTAGGGTTTCAGGACCCTGACTGCAGACGCATAATTGCCTTGATAACCAGACTCAGGTTAGGTACAGCAGATAAAGCAGTTTAGAGTTAGTCAGGTTATGAGTAAATAGTAAAAATAGAATCTAAAATTGAATGTGAATCAATTCATCAACAGACTGAGACTCTGGTTTGTGTTTAACAGCTCTATACAAGCTTCAGTAATGAGTGAACCCTGAATGAACATTTCTGTGTCAAAACTCTAAAATGAACTGGGAGCCAGTGAGAGCAGCTAAACTGGGAGAATGTGTTTGTATTGTCTGGATCTAGTTAAGAGCCTTGTTGCCAAATAATGCTTTGTTTTGTAAATGGTGTACAGGTGTTTGACTGAGGCAGGAATACAGTGGTCTAGATAAGACATGACCAGGGCCTTACAGTCCCTTTAGCATGTCTGAAATAAGGTCATTTGTATAACAGTTTATCCTCATTTGACTAATTGACTAACACTTCGCTTATGCCAGATAAAGACTGACTGATTAGGAAAGCCACTGCAATAGGACTAAAACAGAAGGACAGGAGTACAACGTGTGGCTTGCCTATGACACAAACGGGGAAAAGCCATGGAAAAACCTGCCTTTGTCACTGCTGCCACAAGTTTTAACTGCTAGCACTGCTCCTACTGGACAGCTTCTGCTAATGATAATCACCAGCAACATCATCAGGATCTTCCTGAAGCGTCTTTTCCAAACACATACTGGCCAAGAGGAAGTTCATCTCCTAAGCCTCTCACTGTCACTTCCTCAGACAACCCACTGAACAGAAATTTTCTTCAAATGAGAGTAAGAGAATCACACCACCCCTGTAGACTCTCGTTTGACTTTGTTAGCGCCGTGGCACTTGGCAGACCAAGGGGAAACTGAAAGAGCAACATGCAGCTGCATAAATATCCAATAGAATTAATTTGTAATTGCCACTTTTTCCTACAAACATATAGCACTGTCAGAAATTTCAGTGTAACTGCAGAAGTTTTAAAACAAAAAGAACTAAAGAGGCTTGAAAGAGCATCAGAGAGCTCGGGGAGCACACTGCTGTTTTCTTTGCTTTAAGGAGCATGGCCGTGAGGACTGATGCGGCTCAGCCAGCCTGTTGCAACGAGCCTGAAACAACAGGGAGCCTTATCTTCTTAAGTCGGCTCTGTAACATTTACTTTCTCTTTAATGCCTTGTACTTATGTTGAGAGCTGCATATTTTAACAGGACAGTCATTTAGAAGCAATGTTTTTGTAGAAACTGTTTTATTTGTGTTGGTTTGTTGTGTAGGTGCCGTGGTAGTGTGTCAGGTTTTTAAGTGTTTCTCTTTTGGCTCCCAACCAAACTGCATAACTTTGCTGCTGGGACGCTGTTGCTCCTTTCCCCTGCTCAACTTGCCAAACAAAATATTGTCCAGTGCTTAGGGTTTTCAATGTTCCCCCCAGTGTTTTCCCATCCTTACAGCAACAACAAACATTTCTCATCGGGTCCCAGAGTGTATGATTGGCATCTGGTAGCATTTGTCACCATAATTCATTTTT